GTGGGAAACCTCGTGGGTTCGAGTCCCACTCCAATCATAAAACTTTTTCTTGCACAAAAGGGCCGCAGCCACACGGCCAAAAAGAATCATGTCCGAACCAGGACTCGAACCTGGGACATTCTGTGTGTTAGACAGATATGATAACCATCTACATCATTCGGACTTCCAGATCCCCCGGCATCCCGCGTTTTGTACTCTCCGCCGCCGCCGCCCCTCGCGGGCCGCGCCGGCCCCTGCGCCGACACGCCCCTTTCAGATGACCCCCCCCCCCCCCCCCCGAGCGCCCGAGCACCGGCCCCGCCGGCGCGACCCCTCTCGCCCGTGGCCCGCCCCCCTGCCTCGGCCTGCTCGCACAGGCGAGGCTCGACACCCGACTGAGCCACGGCTAGCCCCCCGCCCCCCCCATGGCGTGGACCTAGGCCGCTCTCGCCCAGCCGTTCGGGCCCCGAGGTCCACCGCCCGCCGTAAAAAAACACCACCGCTTCCAGGCGGCGAGGACGACACCCGCCCCGTGTCCAGGCCCGGCGCCCCCCCGCCGCAGCCCCCCCTTCTCTGCCCCCGTCTCTGCGCGGCACACGGGGAAGAAGAAAACCACCGCGGCACGCCTGCCGCGCAAAATGTATGGTATGATTGGAGTGGGACTCGAACCCACGAGGTTTCCCACTAGTACCTGAAACTAGCGCCTTAACCACTCGGCCATCCAACCTGCTGGTCGACCAAGGGCCCACCCGGGGCTTTTGACCGGAGCGACGTCCGGCCCCGGCACGCGTCCCAGCACCGCACCGACCGCCACACTGCGCGGGCACCCATGGAAGCCGCGCGCCCGCGTCGCCCAAAGCACCCCCCCCCACCGCCGCATCCCCGCCCTCCTCTCGGCGGCCTCTCTCACACCCGGAGCGACACCCTGCTCCCGGCCGCTTGTCAGGCCCCCCCCCCCCCGCGCTTCGGCGCCGAGGCTGCCTGGAGGCTGGCCGGTTTTTCCCCTGTGGCGGCGCCTCTCCCCCCGCCCCGGGATCCCCCCCTCTCCTCGGCGGACAGATCTCTCGCGGGCGGGGGCGACGCGCGGGCGCGGCCGCCGGGCGCGCAAAAAGAACGGTGTGATTGGAGTGGGACTCGAACCCACGAGGTTTCCCACTAGTACCTGAAACTAGCGCCTTAACCACTCGGCCATCCAACCAGATGATGTCCCTCCACCCACCAGATGCCTTCATGAGGCCCGGTGCTTTTGCCGCGCGCAGAGAAAGAAGCCCCGCCGCCATGCACCACCAAAGCGAAGCCCGGCTCCCGGGGGGAAAGACACACGCCGGCGGGACGGTTGCCCCGGGCGCGCAGGAAAAAAAAGACCGCCCGCACATGCCCACCTCTCTCGCGCCACGGAGGAGCAGCCCCGAGCACACGCCGCAAGAAGCAGAGGGCCGCGTGGAGGAGGGACCGAGCAAAAGGAAAGGAATAGCCCACTGTGGGGCTCGAACCCACGACCCTGGGATTAAGAGTCCCATGCTCTACCAACTGAGCTAAACAGGCTATGCCCTATGCATCAAGGGGGAGCCATATCAAGGACCCCGTTTCAGCCACACCGGGCCCGCGGCCCATGATCCTCCACGCCCCACGAGGGCCCGCGCCCGGAAGATGCCCGAGCGGGCGCCCCCCCCCCACCGGAGGGCCGCCAGGGGCCGAAAGAAGGAAAAAAAAAACCACGGCACAGCACCAAAACACAGAGGGCCGGCTGGCCCGCGTCTGACCAACGGCCCGCGGTGCCGACGCCGAGACAGTCCAACATGACCCCCCTTCATTGGCCCGGGTCGCCGGGGAAAGCCGACACCCCGGCGGCCCGGCCGGGAGGAGCCCCGGGCCATGCCCAAGGAAACGCGGGAACATCCCCTCGCCCGGGTGGTGGCGATCGTGCGTCGCCCCCCCGGGAAGCACGCCCGAGCAGGGCGGCAGGGGCCTGGCTCGCGCCATGCGGGCGCAGAGGAGGCTGGCCGCAGCCCCGGGCTGTTCACGGTGGAGGGCAAGAGAATACAGCGGTCGGAAAAATGCGGGGTGGCGCGAAGGCCGGGGGCAGGCGGACGGCACACGCCTCTCCAGCGGCGCCCCGAGGAGAGAGCCATGCCCGAAAAGGCCCGGCCAATATATGTGCGGCCCGGCCAATATATGTGCGGCCCGGCCATGAAACGCTCCGGTTCTGGTATGTGATTCTGGGGGACCGGTGAGGGCCTTCCCTGAACCACCCAGAGCGTTCCGTCCCGAGAGGGTCACCACTCGGACATGAATACAACAACAAAAGAAGGGAAAGCTGGTGATCTGCGTCTTTATGGGGATTACATCAGGGACTAGGTCACACCGCTCCAGAGGGAACGACGTACGGAGACAGGACTATAGGAAATCAAACCTCCGTAAGAGAGAATGACTATCCTTCAAGGTGCTGAGTCCTTGGAGGGGAGGCAGGAACGGGGGCCCCTTATATAGGGTGCCCAGAAAAGGGGGAATACATGGGAATACATGGGAATTGAGAGAGAATGGGTGGCGTCGCCCGAACGACGACGCCAGCACCCCCCAACGGGGAAGTGCAGGTCGACTAGTGGACCTCGTTGCTATAAGATCACGTGAAGGTCATGACCAGATCTAGCAGGGATGTGGCAGCAGGGGGAAAACAGAGCAGGGCGAGGTGAGGCAGGCGCGGAGGAGGTGAGCGGAGCGAAGTTCCGACGCAATGTCGGAGGTGACATTATGGTTACAGGCCAATATATGTGCGGCCCGGCCCTAGGACATCGAGGTTGGATGGCCGAGTGGTTAAGGCGCCAGTTTAAGGCACTGGTGGGAAACCGCGTGGGTTCGAGTCCCACTCCAATCATAACATTCCTTTTTGCCCCTCGGCACCAGCGCCCCCTTCCCCCCCCCGCACGGAATAACCACACCAGGACACGGCGCTGCCACGGAGGAGGGCGCGTCGTCAAATGCCGGGCCTCCTTTATTGGTCATTTTAAATAATCCCCCATCATTGTGTGCCTGGAGTTGCTGCGATACATCCTCCCCCGGTGGGTCTGACGCGCGCGCGCGTGCATGCGTGCGTGTGTGTGTGGCATCCCCGGCGTGTGTGCCGCCCCAAGAGAGAAAAACACACCCAAAAAAAGTGGCATCCACCCGGCCACCATCCCCCCCTCCGGACGCAGCGCGCCAAGCATATGGACATGCACACACATCGGGGGGGGGGACGCGCGCATGCCACACACGAGAGAGAGAGAGAGAAAAGGGCCCACGACGGGAGGCAGCGTTCAATTTTTACAGTGGAGAGGAAGAAAATGGGGAAATGTACGAGTCGATATTGAGAGACCTAGACATCTTTACACATCTAGCCTCCCACCCATCAACCCAAAGAGGTGCTCTAGCTTCGCTAAAAATATGATTCCCCGTGAAAAGAGGGGGTCTCAGGAGTGTGCGAAGCTGTTATCCTTGGAAAAAAGCCCAGGATGCCCCCGGGTGCCCCGGCCCGGCACGCCCATAGCCCCCCGGGCAAGTCCCGGCCCCGCGCCATGCAGACCGGCGCCCTCGGGAAAATGTCATTCCCACACAGAACCCCTGCCGCACAACGAGACACACCAGCAGGAGGGTACTATTCCCGAAGGGCGCCAGGCGCCCTTCAGGCCAGAACACGGCCCAGGGCGCAGGGGGGGGGGGGGGCGAGAGGCAAGCGGAGGGCGCCCGGCCGCGGCCCTCAGCGCTGGCGGCCGTCGCGCTCGCGGCTACGGCTGCGTCCCCGGCGGCGATCATCGTGGCGGTCGCGCCCGGGCGCCTGGTGCCGCTGGCTCCGGCTGTGGCGCTCAGCGCCACGGTCTTCGTCCCGATGGCCGCCCCGGGCATGGCTGTCCTGATCCCGGCGACCGGCTCGGTGGTCGTCCTGACGGGCATCCGGGTCCCGGCGATGGGAGTCCCGACGGTCGGTGCGATCCTCTCGGCGGTCGGTGCGATCCTCTCGGCGGTCGGTGCGATCCGCTCGGCGATCATTGTAATCCTCTCGGCGGTCGGTGCGATCCTCTCGACGATCGCTATATCCCTCTCGGCGGTCGGTGCGATCCTCTCGGCGATCGGCATATCCCTCTCGGCGATCGGCATATCCCTCTCGACGATCAGCATATCC